TCGAATAATATATAAAAGACACAATTGTGAATGTATTAATTTTGAGATACTTATAGCATATATATTTAAATATGCATATATAAAAATTAGATTCATTTTATACAAGGTTATAAATGTCAAACCAAAATGTGAAAATTATTTAATCTAAAATAGTTTTCATTCTTTATGAACTCTTGTGCAAAATTATATGTGACATGAGATTCCATTTTTAAAATATTTTATATCAAAATTGATGTAAAAAATCATAACTCTTCCTTCAAAAATATTTTCAGATTTAACAAAATAATCATTAAAATAAGTATATACTCTATTTTTAAGATGCTCTTTATATAACAATTTGTCCATACTGCAACCATAATTATACGTTACGTAGAAAAAAATACAAAAGTCATTCGTGTAGTTAGCATTCAACAACAGACATTAACGAGCATCAGAGATCGCGTTTACAATTTGACCTGATTATTCCTTGGGATCACTATTCTCCTCCATTTATCAGCGAGTGAAATACATAAGTGACAATCATAAATTTTATTAAACTTTTGCGCACTTCGCGTAACTTCTGATATGCAACGAGACAGCGTCTCGATCTCGATTTGAAAATGCATTTCAAACTTCGACGATGTACACTGTCTTTGGAAAATAAGACAATACAAAGTTTTTCACTTCTATCGCATTATATTTTAATGGCAGATTCTCCAATCTTTCTGGAGTTGATTTTTCTTGAAAACAGAGAGAGTGTGAAGAGTTGTATTATTTGTTATTATAAAAGTTTTGATGTATATCTTTGTGAACTCTTTTAAATTAAACAATATTAAGAATATTAAGTCGGCTTTTTAATATTAAAACACAATATACACCTACTCCACCTTGGCCAACAGAGCCAAACGCGATGTTATTGCGAAAATTAAGAAAAAAAATTAAAAAACTTAGAAATTCGTATCTTATGATTTTAGATCTCAAAATTCTCCTTGTTTCTCTTTTAACCTGTAAAGAAATAAGCGAGAAAAATATTAGTCCGAAAGCATTCGCCCGACAAGCGAAAGGTCTCGGATTCGATTCCCAATTCAGCCGACTTTCGGACTAATATTTTTCTTGGTTATTTCTTTACAGGGGAAGTTAAAAAAAAACAAGGGGAATTTTGAGATCTAAAACCATAGATACGAATTCCTAAGTTTCAATTTTCGCAGTTTGGCTCTGTTGGCCAAGATGGAGTAGGTGTATAGTGTGTTTTAAATTAAAGTTTTTTTTAAATAAAAGTAAAATATATTCAAAATTGTAACTAGAAAAAAACAGATTATACACAATGACATATGCATACAGTTAAATACATAATTTTATAAGAGCAAAATATTTGTGACGTTATTTGCAGTAAAACGTTTGATGTTTGATCACAAAAAACGTAATTATGCAAATAAAGTTGAAAATTGTCGTAAAAAACTAGCCTATGGCTTGCATCTTTCTCTTCCGTCACTTTTGCGATCAAAGTGCAAAAATGACCAATATACCATATAATGAGCATTTTATTATCGATGCGAAAATTCCACGTAAATAAATGGAATGAAAACTGTTACGAAATCTGTGCCAAATTACAATTGTACCATTGGTCGAAACAATAATATTCATACTTTGAGAAACAAAGCAGTTACGAAAATAGTGATAAAAAATCCAGCACGAAAGTGAAAACTGCAGTATTTTTTCTTTTTCTTTTTTTGAAGAAAAATCTGAGATTTTATATATTTATGTCATGGTAAAATAATCCAGCACGAAAGTGAAAACTGCAGTATTTTTCTTTTTTCTTTTTTTTTAAAAAAATCTGAGATTTTTTTATGTCATAATAAAATAATTATGCGCAAAAAAGACTGATGTACACGCTACAAAAGATTATATTTTTACTACTAAGAGTTATACCATTATTTCCACGAAGTAGGCCTTCGTGTTTAAGATTACTCCACCAGCACGCTACTATGTAAATTTATCCCGAGATACTGCTTACATTTAAATTCGATTTGAAAGCAACGAATTACTTCAGATAAACTCAAAGCCGAGACCTTGTTTTCCGAAACACAGGGAGAAGAGAGAACGCGAGCAAAGTTCTGACGAATATAACTCCGGGAATTTCGGAAAGCGCGTTGGCAACAACGAATTCCGAAATCTATCAACCTCGAAAGCATTTATATATAACTATCGTGTCTCTCAACTACATACATATCGTATCTATAGATAACAGATCGATACTCTTTTACTTTTTAAGTTATATTTTCACAATTATATTTTCTACTGAGTTTTGATTAAAAATCGATATGCGACGAGACAGCGTCTTGAAAGAAAAAGAAAATTTAAAGTATCTCATAATTTAATAAATATATATTAAATTGTTAAATAATACTTAAAATTGTCTATCAATAATATCGTAAAGAATTTTGCAAGAAAACAAACTACCATTTAACTAACTAAAAGTTGAACGCAATAAACTTCCATTAATTATTTCTTAAATTATGTTTCCAATTTCTTCGACGTCATCGCGAAGGTAAACCTCATCGAAGATACATTTGGCAGTTCGATTATGTCTTATTGACTGACTTGGCGTGCGGAGCGGTAAAATTGGGTCATCGTACGAAATTGCTACCACCTAAACTGAAATTATTCCGCGAAATTTCTCGATGCTAGATACGAAACGGTCTATTTGCGCGATATTAAGAATGCCATTAGCAGCTGATTCCAGCCGAGACTGATAGTACCGGTGTGGTACCTCTAATTTTTAATCGATTAAACAATCGTTCTATCAAAACATTATTACCTAAAATCGGAAATACAAACTAGTATGTGTGCTTAGATTATTTTAATATGTAACAAAATTATCTTTAAAAAATATTTGGATCTGAAAAAAGCAGATACGAATATATGGACCATTATAACCATTTTCGCTCGAATCCATTTATCACTGACATTGATAATAAATGTTCGGCGAAAAGTGCGTTTAGATATTATGGAAATAAAGACGATCTTTTATCTATGATACAGAAATCAGACGGTGTGCGTGCGACAGCAAGATTTATTGCAGTCGCAGTTTCTTCGGAAACTGATGCGCTTTACGTCCATCCGGCAAGTCTGTTTCCGCAATGTGACACAAATACATATTTATTGCGCGCGTAAAATACGCACACGCACGCAGCCTCTAAACGTGCAGATCTCCGAGATTTATTCAACTTTATTCGTACTTTATTCTTTTCGTGCTATTCTTCGCGATCGATAAAATACGGTGTGTATGTATATTGCCGGCTTCTCGTTCGTTCGCATCTCTTTTCTTTTCTTTGTTTCAAATATACTGCGAATTTTTTTATTTCTCCCAATTTTGTACGGTTGCATACCGTATACCAATCCGAATATCGTTATTATACTATTAATCAAATTTCGATCGCAAACTCGCTTGGAATAATATTCCGCATGAAGGTATTATGAACGATAAATAATGCAAAGATTAGTTTGCATTTTTTTTTATACTTTTGCTATAATTCTTAATCTTCTAATTTGATAAAATTTGATTTTTTGTCGAATAGATTAATGTGTAAAATATTTTTTATATGTGTAAAATAATACCTCAAAATATATAGTGCAAAGATTTAATGCCGATTCGGAGCTTAATGGATTAGATTTATGTTATTATTAGTATTGTAACTTTAATGGATATATTTTCCACCCAATGCATATGGGCGGGGATGATGAGAGAGTAGTTCTTAATGTCAATAATATGCAATTCGCAAGATATATACCCAGGATAGCTCGAGAGAACGTTCAACAATGATAGAAGTACGTAGGAACACAAACATCTTTTGAACATTAATAAAATGCTGGTTCTGCAAGAATTGACTAATTTACTTAGATATTTAAATACTGCTTATTAGACTAATTAGGTCATATAATTTTGAAAACAAATTTTGATCGAACTATCCAGCATTTTTAAACTATTTAAACAAGAATAAAATATCCGCAATAAATATATTAAATGTAAATTTGCGATATATCTATTAATTTTATATTTCTAAAGTATATTATAAATCTATAAATGCAATCAATATGAAAATATTAAATAAATAATTTTTATAATTGTAGAATTCTGATAAATTGCGAAAAATAGAAACAAATCAAGAATTTTGATTCAACAACTATCTAAATATATAAATAAATAAAGATAAAGAAATAAATAAATAAACGTGAGGTACAATTATTAGAAAACAAAGGATCTAATGTTATATAAGAAAATACTGTGTTATCTATTAATTTTATATTTCTAAAGTATATTATAAATCTATAAATGCAATCAATCTGAAAATATTAAATAAATAATTTTTATAATTGTAGAATTCTGATAAATTGCGAAAAATAGAAACAAATCAAGAATTTTGATTCAACAACTATCTAAATAATTATAAATAAAGATAAAGAAATAAAGAAATAAATAAATAAACGTGAGGTACAATTATTAGAAAACAAAGGATCTAATGTTATCTAAGAAAATACCGTGTTAATTTTAGGCGAGTTGCGGATTCGCCATAAATATCCAGAACGGAAATCGGAGATTGTCTATACTCAACGCAGATATTATTATCGCCGTGGTTAATGAGCGCGATAATTTGCGCTATATAAGCGCCATTGTCTAACCGCGTACCGCGTATATAATACTGCTTTATACGTACATGGTGTATACACATCTTACACGTTGTAAAGCCAATGTTAAATGCAGAGGTTCGCCGTGAGAAACCCCACCGTACTTCGATCGATTGTCATACGATTCTCGACGACGATATCTCAGATCCCGTAGTCGTGGGGGGTGGGGGTGGGGGAGGAAGGGTGTGGGAGGGTACTTATGTAAAAAAAAAAATTCTTTTGAAAAAAAGAGCTGAGTGACAACAGGAAGTAGGACACTTTGTAGTCGGTGCAGTGGGTGAGAAATAGTAAGTGAGACGTATTCAGCGAGTGAACGAGTGGCGGTGCATACTTACGTCCCGTTAAAGGGTGCATCAGAGCGGGGTGCGAGGTGGCTGCTGCAGCGGCTGGTTGCTTGGGTTTGCTAACCTTTGTGTTACTTTTTGCAAATTCCAAACGTATGGTTTGTGGCATATCAGGATCGAATCTAACCCCCTGCTGCAAATAGATTCCCTAAATTAGTAAATCGGGAGCACACACGTGGATGGATGGTGGTAGTGTAGTAAGGCAAAGAGACAGAGAAAAAAAGAAACGATTAAAAAAAAAAAGAGAGCAAAGAGAGTGAAGGCCCTTTTTATTTCGTCACTAGCCGCGTGTCCGGTTAATTTTTGGTATGACAATTTATAAAACAATGTTATGCTTTTAGTAAATTTTGCATGTGCTTCGCTCTGAAAACATTTTTATTCCTTCTATGATATTTTAAAAATAATCTTTTAATTAAAAAGCAAAATATGTAGTCTGTAAATTATTTTTTAAAACAGTTTGTTACTTGAATAAAAATTAATATCTTTTATTATCACTACAGCAAAAATATTTGCAATTTTTTATTATATATGCTACAAAAATCTTGTCCCACGAATTAATACTTATTCTCGTTCAAATATTTGCAGATTTAATTCAAAGTTCATAGCAATATTGATAGATTACGCTATTCCACTCCAATAAAACGTTATTCGTATTTTCTCTGCAGTGGTTTATTTTCTTTCGATATGTTTCAGTGATATCGTCTATTTTGTGAATATATAACGCGAAAGTGAGCTAGATTAATGTTTAATACGAAAATACGCACTAATCAATTTTCCATAAATCGTATTGACATTCAGTGGATATTCAATCAAAATAGTTGTCTTTTTCTGTCCAATCTTTCTATAACTAACAACGACAGTGTAAAATTGCAGATAAATTGATATGCTGTCATTATTTTCCAATGTATTTTTTGTAATTTTAATTTTTGTAAAATAATATTTAAAAAATACACTCCTTATTTATTCAATTATTTTTTAAATTTCTACGAATAAACAAATAAAAATGTTTTAATAACAATAATATAAATAGTTAACGTTACGAATACGAGAACGTGCAAAGAATATTATTCATCACAAGCTGTGTATAATCTGGAAAAATTATTAATTTTACTACAAATATGTCTAATATTTTTTCTTGTATTATTTAAATTGTTTTATTACTAAAGTAGAAAAATTTAAATATACAAATACAAATTTATCCTGTAAAAAGATTTAAGAACTTGTACGATAACATGAATATCTCGTGCAAAAAAATTGATTTACTAATATTATGAAAAAAAAACGATTAAAAGGCTCTAAAAAGCTATGTTGAAAGTGATGTTTAAACCCACAACATACGTTCCATGCCTGCGAAATCAAATTGAAAAGGCTGATCGAATCACTGATGGCTAGCGACGAAAGTGACATAGGTATAATAATAGTATAGGATTATTACGCTGGATGTGGAAGGGAAATTAGCACAAGGGCGTGTACGTGTGTATTCGTGTGTGTGTGTGTATATACGTGTGTGTTTCTCTCCTTGTACGTGTATTCATAAGGTGGGTCGCTCGTTAGTCCGTACTACGGTGTTTCCAGCGAACGTGTTCATCCGACAAAAGGATGTTTTTCTACGCGATACGTACGTCCGTACGTATAGCGATATACCGTTGTCATACTCGGGTTATGTAACATTGCAGATTGCGTGAGGTCAGTTGCAACGGTATGGTAGAGCTACATGGGGTGACCAACTTAACGACTATACCAGAAAATTCGATCCAGTCGACACGACGAAAGCTACTTCGCGTTTAAATTATATATAATACATTCCAAAGTATAAAATCGCGTGACAAGCTGTAGGAACATTTTTAAATCAAAAGTGATCACCTCATGGATATATGTATTTACAGATACATATATATACACATTGCATATAAATATATTCATATTTTTATTATATCAATCTAAAAGAAATGTAGAAAAAGTATCGTGTATAAGAGAGATTTTCTGATTGAGATTTTTTTTTAGAAATTTTTCTCAAATTAAAAAAGTGCAGTATATGCAAAAATATACACTAAGATTTGGATTTTCAAAAACATTTTAAAATGCAAAAATTAACAATTCTCTAAATATATTACTAAAATAATTGCTTTTTTAAAACTTTTAATAAAATAATTAATTAGTAACATATCGAGTATATTGTTCTTTTATTTATCATGCTCCATTACAATCTACACAAATAATAATTCTTGACCATAAGCTACCTTGACGCATATATGTATATTTAAATATATGTATATGCAACTAGATGATACGCTTGTCTCGGAAGACAAACAACATAATATGTATATATATATATGTACATATATATATGTATATATCGATAATGCCACACGGTGCAGCGTTATTACAATATGCCTTGGTATATACGCATACAGGTAGACAAAGGTAGTAACATACTATATTTGGTCCCAATGAGAGAAAAAAAATTAGAAAGATATAGAGAGAAAAGCTACGATAGATATAGAAGGAGAGATAAACAGTAATCAGATGGAGAGAGTGTAGTAACTAATAGACATAAGAGCTAGAGATAGCATTAACCCGTGCCAGCTGGAGAATCTAAGGCAGGGTGGATTCGTAAAAAAAAAAAAAAAAAAAAAAAAAAATGCCGGGCATATCTGTACGTAAGTGAGTGTCACTGTGTATATATGTATGCTATCAACCGCGCGTCAACCCTGAGACTCCTACACGAGAGTCCACCACCTTTTTCCCACCTGCTTCGCCTCGCGGATGCCTGCGAGAAAAGGGCTATTACCTGCAGATCCTGCTTCGCCGCCTCCGCGCCTGCCCTCGTGTGAAAAGTCACGAATCCCACCGGCTGAAATGAGAAAAGAGAACATAACAAGAAGCGCTTTATTCGCGTCGCATATACAGATTGTATCTTCTCTCTCTTTCTCTTTTGACGGGCATTCATTATGCGAGCGCTTAATGTTACTTCGCCGACGAACGGGCTTAAAATCGCCGACCCGTTCATATCATTGTTCCCATTTGGGAATATTTATCTCATTATTCATAATAAATGCTATATGAGATAAACAAATGCTCCGCGATAGAGTAATTTGCGGCTAACTATATGAAGACAAATTTCTCGTTTAATTCTAATAAAACAAGTCATGAAAGGGTACCGATGAAGGTTATTTTTACTGCAACTTTTTGACTTATCTATAATATTGAAAAGTTTTAATATTGAATAAGTTGATAATTAAGACTGTAGTTAAGATTCTGTTAAAATCCGCTTGAAGTTAGATGAAGAAGTTTAGTTGCTTGTTTGCACCTCTAAAACTTAATCTGCAAGAATATCTTTAGTCTGCATCTTTAAATTTTTACTTCCAAAGAATACTCTAAATGAGGTATCTATTTATATGTTAATTGCAAATTACTTCCATGTAAAATAATGTAAATATGTTAAACGTAAAACTATATTTTTTATCAACGTTTCTTTAAAAAAAAATAGAACAAATGTGCATGAACATAATTACGTCATTTATATCAAACTTCTAATTTAAGTTATTATTTGATATTTATGTAATCTTAAAAATAGATAATATAATCATAATCAATAATTTGTCTTGTATAAAAAAATTTGCTAGTAATAAAATAAATGACAATACAAACAAATAAGAAATCTGGTTTTTTACTTGTCTACGACAATTTTCTATACAATTGTGACTCCACGTTATAAATTTTGTATGATAGATAGATGTGCGTAAAAATACCTCGCCGTAACATCGCAGTCGTGAAAAATATTTTGGCAGCTGATCAAAGAAAGATCATACTTTGAGAGACCTCGGTGCGCCTTTATCGCGTTTCCTTTCTCTCTCGCTCGTGCGAGTGTTTGCATATTGCGCCTTGGCAGTGTATAAGCATTCATCCTTTTATCTGCGCGCGCGCATTCACTAATTTATTCAGTAGACGGCATCGATTCCATCGGTTTATACGGAATTAACGGAGCAACGGAAAACGCCGAGCGTCGCGAGAACACGCGGATCAATCCGCGCTAACGATCGCCCATCAAGGTGAACCTACTTCGCTTCATAATGCATCGCGTGATTGCAACGGCTTGCAATCGAAGGTGTCGATTCTACGATGCGAGAGACAGAAATGCCCGATCGTTAACGCGAGGATATTCGTTACACGCTGCCGTTTATTTCCGTGCCGCCTCCCTCGAATATTTATGCATCCGAAAGAATAAAATTGGATCTCACCTCGATCGAGTGCGCTCGATCTCGAAACAGAGACATTTCCGAAGCGAAGAATAAATAGATGTTGCACAACATATACATAATGTCTAGCTATCTAGGCATCTATTTCTATAAATAATTTCTCTATTATATTCTTTTATCTCTGGATTTAATATATCAATCAATAATAATAATTTTAATAGCTTAGTATGAGAATATAATATATTATTAAGTATATTACATTAGTATAAAATATATCTTTTAATATTTTAATATAGCTTTTAAAAATATTCTTAATTTTCATGCATTTTACAGCGATATAAAAAAACTGACATGTAATAATTCAATGAATAAGATTATATAATAGATTTGAATATTGGAGGGCCCATTGAATTATTCACATTAAATGTCATAATAGTTTCAAGAATAATCTCTGGCAATATCTCGCATGGAATCTGAGATAGAGAATTGCTATCGCTGCTAAAGGCACAAATAAAAAAAGGAAAAAATAAATCGATCGTACTTTCACCCGATGGATATAACAGTCGTTCGTTCACAATTCTCGCGAATGCACCTCGCCGACTCGTTTTTATTCCGCGGCGAATGCAATCCGTTTCCATCGATTCGAATATTAGATATAACGTCGATGTAAACGCGCGCGATTTGCCTTGCTAGCGTGCATTACGCGAATTCGCGGAATTATTCTTATCGGAACACGGAATACCCAAACGTAATACGTAATCGTTTTGCCGCGTCGAGGAACATTTTTTATCAATATGTGCATCGTGATGTGATGTAGGTTAATGGTCATGCGTGCAAAACGCCCGACGGAGACGATCGATTCCTCCTGTATTTTCATTCTTTATATGTATATATATATTTTTTTTTGTTGTTATATTGCATACTAATATACCCTCCTGATACACAAACCGCGATAGTGCAACGCTCGTATCGGTTTTTCTTCTGGGGGCGCCAAGGTTCTTTGTGGCTTCGTCGCCGCCGTCGCGGCGACAACTCGTACCATGGCCGTGTAAAAGTGCATGCAATTATGCACGTAACCCCGGATGGAAACAGGTATAGAAGCACTACTTTGCGCACACAAGGCGCAACACCGTCGCGTATAATCAAAAGGCTTGAAAATTTGTGATAACGCTAACGTCACAGATTTTCTACAACGCTGTTCGTTGTTTAGAAGATCACGACGTTTAAAACTACATCGAAGTGTGCTCCGAAATTTTCTATACTTTGATTCATCTTGGAAAAGCATTTTCTTTTTCATGAAAAAATCACCGACTCAAATGTAAGGAGGTAAAGAGAACGTATATAAAATTAAACAGTACACGTCGATATCGTATAATAAAATAAATTTCAAATAATAAAATTGGTAATTATTACAAAATTATCATCGTAAAATTGTTAAAGAAAATGGTAATTATCAATTTTACCGTCCAAAAGTTATTACATTGTTGCATTGAATGGATATAACAGAAGAGATAAAAGGTTTCTTTAAAGACAAATAAATGTTGCGGTATTACTTCGTTAAATCGTCATAAATAAATGAAAATCAAAGCTTGAAAAGAGTAATGGCGTAATTTACAATTCAAACTTTTTCCAGTTAAGCAGTTCGATAGCAGTTGTGAAAGAATTTTTATTTGAAAACTATACCTTTCTCCATTACACGATCGATTGAATCTTATTAATTGTGAATTGAAATCAAATCGAATTTAATGCGTGAAAGAGCCCGAAAAAACAATTATGCAATATCAATTGAATAAAGAAGGAGATAAATTCTCACTTATATAGAAGTTCAACGCGCAGAGATAAATCATCATCACCGAGCTACAAAGGGCTTTGTACGGACTCTGCAATGGCACATCGCGGCTAGGTAATGGAAGAATGCGAGACAACAAAAGCTTCTGACAACATTTGAAAATCTTTTCACCGCACTGCCGTGTATTTTTTGAGAAAAACTGCTCCTTCCTTCTGCTTTTCGTTCTCGGGCACAACGATGACCGAAGGAAACAAATAGCAGAAAGGTTGGCCTGACCCGGTATCGATTCGTACAGTCAGTCGTACCCAACCGTGCCAGTGGCCAAGGAAGTTTAAGCACCATTCACACGTCGCCTGTTTTATTCGCATTCTGCTCGTATTATATCTAATTACATCACACTACGACCATTACAAGCCACTGCTTGTGTTCCGCGCTGGTTACGAGGTCAAGCCGCGTGTAGGAATAAAAACATGTTATTAACTACAACCTTTACAATGCTACATTGTGATATTCCACAAATCATCCTAATAATCAATGAGAAACTTAGAGAAAATTTACAACGTCGAAGAAAGACACTCGTAAGAAATGATATATTAAATGTTATATATATTTAAAATCTAAATCAATTACTTTGTCTTTCTAAATTTTGAAATCTTCATCAATTTTTTTCAAAGATTGATGAATTTTTTATTGAGTTAAGATTGAAATCTCTGGTATCTATATAAAGAAGAATAAAATTAATATATATATATATATATATATATATATATATATATATACAATATATTGAAAGAATAGAAATAAAGATTAATATATTTATTCAAAATTAAGAATTAATAAATGCAAGAATATATTCATATAGATACTTGAAATTATAGATATTGATCTGACAAGCTACAGCTTGCAAGATGCATAATTTAAATGCAATCAAAATCCAATTTAATCAAATAATAAGCTATATATATATATAAATATTCGCGATAATTTAAATCTTAGAATTCATCATTATTTTGCAATTTACAAATTCTAAATACGATTATATAAACAACAAATTTTAAATTGAGATTTATGTACACCCCGACTCCATAATTTTGATCATCCGTAACACGTTGAAGAACATAACTTTGATAGATTAGCGGAAGCCAAAGATTTGTTATACTCAGTAGTCAGGTAGTAATTCTTTTTTTCAGCATTTGTTATTCAACATTCTTCGAGTGAAATGCGATCCTTTTGCGGTTGATACAATCGTCGCGGTTTTATTTTAGAAAGTCGTTGCATGTGTATTGCACGCGCGAAATGCAAGTAAAGACTATGTAATAAAAACAATAAATATCAGAATAGAAAAATGTTAAAAATGTGCTTTATGGATTAGAGATTTTACTGCGTCAGTATACTCTCGCGTGTACTGTTTCCAACGTCGTCGCATAAATTAATGTTATCTCGCGGGGATTATGCTGGGTTGAGTAGAGCGTGCGATGGCATTACCGCATGATGAAATTTGATGTATTTCTTTTTGTTGGCTGATTAAGTATTTTTAGGGTTTCGTGACTCGCATAATCAATGAACGCGCTTTGAACAAATAAAAAAAACTTAAGCAACTGTTTTTCATAATCATCGTGACATATTTTTAAATTCAATTTTTATTCACAGGAGTTTTAAATTTATATAATTGCAGAAGAAAACATTAAAATATATTCATCATATTTATATTCTATATACATAAAATTAACTATTTAGCTTTTGTTAATAATTTAGTTACAAAATTTTGCAAATTGTTATAACAATTTTTAACAGATAATATTAATCTTGTTTAAAAAATATGAAATTTCTATAATCTCTAATCTCCAAAAAATAATTCTTTTATTCAGCTATAACCAATTATTATATGTACACATAAGGGATGTTCAATATATTATGTAATATTATTGTTAGTATAAACAAATCGATAAAGAATTGACAGGTACAAATATATATTTAATGTATAAAATTACATAAAATAATTTCCGTATCTTGAAAATTCGATCAAAACTTGCAGTTTGGTTAGGTGACCAACTTTTTCCATTCGTTTTTCTCTTGAGAATATTCGAGTTAAAGAGAGAGAGAAAGAGAGAGAGAGAGAGAGGGAGAATTTTTGCCAGTTTTACCATGTAATTGATTGGAATTTTCTCAAAATATATATTTTGTAGGAATTCACTCATGAAACCGAGATCCAATTTTATCTTTCCGTTTCTTCGAGTGCATAAAAAATATATATCGAAAGTATCGAGCTACTTCACACGCACGCGAATCTAAGGGTTTATTTACGTTAAAAATTACCGATGCACTCTTTTCAAAACAAGCGTTGAAAAACATTAATTAATAGCGAATCATATTGTCAATTAAAAAGAAAAATATTACACTTCAACTTACCGATGCTGTTTTCCCATTTTTACTCGTGACTTTTAACAGCGACCCTTCGTACCCCTGAAACACAAAAAAATATTATGTTATTAAAATACATTTACATTAAAATATATTATTTGTAGTAAATAACTATAATATAATAAAATAAATATTTTTTGAACTTTAAAATATTTGTTACATTTTAATTATTAGAAGAAATATAAAAGATAATTAGATTTAAATATAATTGCTCATTTATACAAAACTATAAACTAAGAAATAAATATATATTTATTAAAAATGATAAAATATGATACAAAAATTGATTCTTGAGAAATTGTTTTTTGTGAAATTTGATATAAATAATTTCTAGCTATTTAAAAAAATCTTTTCTTATTTTAATTAATGATTTTTAAATAATTCTTAACAGTTCTGATATATTTGCATTCTAATTGTGATAATCTTCTCATATTGTCATCGATTTGAATTCGATGACATGATATAAGCATGATGTACACCTCTGTAATAACTATCACGCTGTTAATCACAGATCCATATTTCATGCATGCGAATCATCATGCCTACTCTTATCTTGCACAAACGAAATTGAGTTTCTAACAAACGTGAAATCGATTTCACGCACATGCGCATGAACATACGAAAATTTAACGCGCCCTCGTTAGATTGTTACACATATTTGGAGAATTAAACAAGATGATTGTCATTATCTCAGGTCATTATACTGCGTATGTATAGAAACAGGTGCGAGAGCAAATATTACCCGGCATCAAACGCGCGTTTATAATGTCAGAAACTATTAAAGCGAGCGAAATTATAATCACGCTCGAGGCAATTCATTATAAAAAATTCTAAATTAACTGTTAATCTCGAATCTTATCCTTTTTAATGATGCTCGCGTAAAATATGGCTAGACTGACCGATTTTTTCAGTTATTAGCGGAATAATATCTATTAGTGTGCAATTTAAAAAATCTGACAGTATACTATCCTTCTATCTTTAATGCTTATAAACAAGAATGTATAAAAGAAATGTATTTTCTATTGAAAAAAATATAGCGCATATACAACAAAGACCTCGCCAAAATGCACTCATCGAGGATCCGTTAGCAACAAAATTCATGAAGACCATTAAAAATAGCGAAGCATCAAGTGAAAAGTAGGGCACGACACATTCGCATATTTTAAATATTTGACACAAATTCTAAGATACCAGCGAATTTCTCGACCATCGCTTAAATTATTAAGCGACCTACTGCAAACGTGCTTTCCAACTCCAAGAGCTCTACTGTGCTGTTGCAAGAAAAGCCGATTATTCATTTTGTACATAAAGGCGTTTTAAATTCACTGCGAGAAATACCTCGTTATTGCGCTATCAAGTATCTTGTCTGGTATTATCGCGAAAGATAAAGGAATCTCGCTTATAGAGTGAAAACATTTCCTTAATTTTTATGGTAGCGATGCAAGTGGAACGCGCGCGCGCACGAGATGAGCACTCGATTACATGCGAACGCCGTAACTCGGTGCTCATTACCTGAGTAGCAAACTGTTAATAATCGCGCGATCGCGATGGAAGTGCTAATTAACGAAGCCGCAATTAGAGAGTGCCGTAAGTCTCGGAATATCTATTCGGCATACTGCAAAATGTTTTTCGGATTTAAACTTGGATCCGCGAGCGGACGGCTAAAAAATACTCTTTACTACTTAAATTTATATAGAAGTATCATGACGCTAATCAATTGTGGCCGCGTAATCATGAAAATAATGTAAATCACAAATTTTTCGTGTAATTCTCAAAACTAACTTTTTCTCTTTTAAATATTAAATACGATATTTTTCATAGATATAATTCTATAAAAAATATATATTTTTCTATAGCGGTAAAACTTTGCAAATTTTAATTAATTAAAATTTTATATAATGTTTGAAAATACATAACAATTTATTAATTGAAGAACTTTAAATATTCAACTGAATCGACTCTCTTTGTGCAATTTTGTATTAACAACTCAGAGATAATTAATGATAAATTCTTATTTTGCCTAAATATATCTGCATGCATTAATTTAGATTTAGATGCTTGAATCAATATACAAAATTGTCGAGATATCTTACATTCTTACAACATTCTCTCTTGGCAACCAACATCATGATCGCGCATCATTAATCAATCTCTCTGCTAATTATAAAATATATCACCAAAATTTTCCAAATATCTTACAATATTCTTACGACATTCTCTCTCTTGGCAACCGACATATTAATCCTGCATCATTAATCAACCTCTCCTAATTATAAAATGTATCATCATTAAATTTTAATATCAACTAAGACAAGCATTTCTAATTCTTTAAAATTCTACAAAAACATATAAAATTTTAATTACACGGGAAGCAAAATGAAGAACTGTCTTTAGGTCAAACTATTAGATCAATCAATTATCCTTATTCAATTTTCTTCATTAAGAAGAACATACATAATTAATGCACATAACGTTATAAATTTTATTATAAAGTTGTCATTCCTTTTCTAAATATATATATATTATATCTTTCAGATCCACTGTGTAGCACTTCCCAGGTATTCATTTTCAACATTTTTGACGCTTACGCTCTGCTCGGCGCCTTGCACATTATTAATTAACTTCCCTTAACTATGAAATATTGCAGTCATTAAAAAGCTGGTCTCCCGGGGGAGCATAATCGAGTTTTCACCGTTCATATGTTGTGTTCGCGCGATGAAATGTGCAAATAACCTCTGCGCTTCTCCAAAAGTTTTCGACGACGGCGAGCGACTAATCCGCTCGGCTCTTCTTCCGACACGCTGAAAATTTATCGTAAATTCACGTGGGAAACGGGTCGTGCGACGCATTATGCGCCACGTTTAATGTTACGATATTTCAAAGACGATTAATAACCCGATTTCACGCGGCAAGACTCTTTGCGCGCGCGCGAATCTCTCGATTCGCGGGCGAAAATAACGCGCGCTCTCGCACCTCTCAAGGTTTATTGTCCCGCGGTATGTCGCCAGTTATGTGTATCGATGCCAAGAAACTGCGTTGCTCTTGATGTGAGAAGTCGCGACAATTTGTATATAAGACAACCGTCATCCAATATACATCACTCCTACGCTCTGTCGCCAATAGAATGTACGAGAAAACGCGGAGGTTTCCGAATTCGTAGACTGCATCGCGATCCGACTGGATACAACTCTTGTCATTTTAATAATATTCTTCTCTATTGCATAACATCATATATGTAATGCTATAACTTCTTATTTATTTGCAAATGAAAAATTCTATTTGTATTGTTACAAGTAAAGAAATAACATATAAGTTATTATTTCTTGCTGTATGGTATAAACAGAATGGATCAAAAGTGTTGCATCTAGAATTTTATTTTTACATTTTATTTCATTCATTATTCGTAACAAAAATGAATAGTGCATTACTATTATAAATGATTAAATAATGGAATATAATATATTAAGTTTCTAGGATATATTGAAATAAGAAAATTGTATTTTTCAATTAATTTTAAGTAGATTTTACTTTGACAGAATTTTAACGAACATAATTAAACTTAAGAAAGTACTTAAGCATTAATATAAAATTTACGATAAGAAAACCTTATCTTTAAATTCATCAAAAGAAATTGATTTAAAGTTACAATAATGTTTAGTATAAAATTGATTTTCATAAAAATTTGTATATATGACGTCGTATCACAATATTATATTTATACAATAATAATTTTATTTTTATTTCATTCTTTTCTTTATTTTATTTTATTTTTTCAATTTTTAAATATTCCATATTATTATATAATAATTATGTTTTAAAATTATGATTAATTTCTTAAGCTGCTATAATTTTATATATACACACACATATATATATATATATATATATATATATATATCTGTTCCAGAATTACAGAGCACTCTGGGAGATTCCTAAGATTATTTGGAGACGATTTTTCCTCAACAAAAATGTAGAGGAAGGTCATCATTTTTTGCATTTTCCCAATTTTTACCATCATTTGTAATTAACACTTAAATTAAAATTCTACTAAAGTAAACTCTATCTGAAATTAACTGAAAAATGTGATTTTGTTATACTTGTTTCCACAAGACTTGATTTGCGAGAAACTCTTTATTTTTAATTGCTTGTAACTTGAAAATTATTTGTGCCTTGACATTTTCGCTGAGGAGAAATCGTCTCCAAATAATCTCAGGAATCTTCCATTAGAATAATAATTTTGGAACACCCTATATATATATGTGCACATATAATTTTATCGTAAACATACAACCACTAAGAAAATTTCAAATCAAAAAAAGCTTTTAAAATTATGATTAATTTTCAATTCGATAGAAGGCTTTTAAAATTATTATATTCTATATAAACACTAAAGTAATTCCAATTTGATAGAAGGCTTTTCAATATTAAACATAAGTGCAACAATCTTGTTCTTTACTTTCATTCACGAAACTAATCGGAAAATTACTATATTACATTTCACTGTGCAAAATAATTATTTAAAGTGCCTTAAGAAATTGTGAGGTAAAAAGAGGAGATCCTCGACCATTTCTATGTATATTTTGCGCACGGAGCTCGTAGTACTGACAGAAATGTATAAGCATACGCACACACGACTAATCCTAATCCCTTTGAGCGAACTGCTACGAACGATATCATGAATATACAAAACAAGGATGAAGTAAAACGAGTGCAAAAAAACACGCCATGTTACGCCGTCTTTTTCGCCGGCGAATAACGATACGCTCGAGAGAATCTCCCGGATTTAACTTTCGAGGGAGATTTCCAAATGGAGCGAGAACAATTTCCCCGTTTTTCCATCTGTCTTTCCTTTCGCAGCTATAAATGACCGCGGTTTCTTTTCTCTCTAGCTGCTGTCGGTTTAAATCGCGATTGAATTTCGTTCCGGACACTTACGAATCGTATTTAAGTTTCACATTTATAGTAAAGTCTTCGATAAATTTTGGCAGATTCGTTGTTGAATAAATTATTTCAATTAATAATATGGTAATATAAAAATGGTACCTAATATAAAATTTCAGATAATAGATAAAGTAAATGGAAAAATATTGATTTAACAAATATTAGGATATATTAGTACAATTATGATTAGACATATAATTAATTTTAAGTTTTAATATTATTTTTTGTTTAAAATAATTTTTGTTATATATTTACGCTTTTGAGTTCAGAGAGCCGAAATATAAATGCGAAAATGATCGCGGGAATTATAAAAATAATGAGCGCGTGTTAATACATAGTCAAATTATACGGACACATAAGATCATATCAGATCTCATTGCCATCGATTTTTCGTCTCAACTGATAAAGCTCAAAACGCATACTCGCGTAATTGGCACCGACATAATTAACCCCCTAGACAAACTAACCTAGGATCCCAAGCCGTGCAAATATGATGTTATAGAGAAGTACCGTCTCTCTCGCAACGGGTGGTCGGCGTAGACGAGCATGATTCATAAGGGGAATATTCCCCTTGTGAATACTGTTCGAACGTTTCAGTCATAACATTGCGTTTCGCACGACGCCGCGAGAACGATAGAATGTAGATGAGCTTATTGAATCTCAACATAGCGAATTAAATGTGACAGTGAAACGCCAGATACAGAGGTATTTAACATACGTCAGATACGGCGACATTTAACATTGACGCGAAACTAATAAATGCAAGAGATTCTTCAAACTACGCATTTTCTAAAAAAAAAGAGATATAAATAAATATATATTAATATAATTTACATTATAATGTATATGTGTTTCTAGATTTCGATATCTTCGAATTCAGATTTAAATTTATAAAATGAGACGTAGAGATAGAGAACTAGAAATAGAATTTGTAAAATGAATAATCAATTATAAAATATAGGTATAATTAAATGATTAATTATACAATATATGATTAAATGATTCCAATTGCAAAATTATTTTAAAAATGCCACTTTTATTTAAATAAATATTGTAAAGTGTTTAGATTGTAAAACGTCGAGACGCAGAAAAATTCAAACGTTTAAATTTTTGATACCTTGAAAATATCCTGAAAGAGTTCTATAATTCATACCCTTTGCACATCTCTTTCAATTCGCAAAAAATCTCTTTCGGATCTCCGAAGTCCATTTCCGACTGTCTCGTTTTTCGAATATTATGCGCTCGCAATAGAATTTTAATGTGCTTTGAACTTTAGATCCGTCAATATCATTTTACAGTTACATACATTTAGGTCCTCGCGCATTCAATGTCAAAATATCTAGTTTTTCAAATCTCAAATCCTCTTGCGCTCCACCCTTTGATCTTGACACACATCGCGGTTACGTGTCTAAATATATAAAATAAAACGAGTAGAGAGATTCTCAAAGAACTCACCTCGTACGCTCTGAAGAGTAGATAGAGCTCCCTCGGCTTGGTGTCCATCGGCAAGCCGCTCACGAACAAGGTGCGCACCTGAAACAGAAGAGAGAGAGAGAACGTTAATCTGAGTTAATTAACCTAATTGCCGGTCTAGAAAGAACCGAGAGAGAGAAATAGAGGGAAAGAAGGGAGACGAACGAAGAGAGACGTATATCGAGATGACTCGGAGACGAGAGAATCGACTTTCTCGATTTGACTTCTGCCCTCGTCCATCAGACGAATCGATAGCTAATTGCAGAATCAATGTAAGATGCCTCGGGAGTGCAAGGAGTCGCGGTCCCCCTTTCATTCGTCTTCCTTTTAAATTTCGCCATTAATTCGGCAATTTACAGTGGCGAGTCTAATTAATTATGATTCAACCCCCGAAGATCTTCGAAAGTGATTCCCTGAAGATATTTCTTCCCCCAATATCGATCATCATTTCCCGCCCACTCGTTGTTGGCATGTTCGAATTAATGCGATATTGTTTCGCTTACAACGGAGAATGCAAATCGACTTTACGTATATTGAATGCCGTCATCGAACAATACAGCGAGAAAGGAGACTGATTTGACGTGGCTTACGCTAGTAAACCTCAACGTGTTGATATGCAGATAATTACTAGCCTCTAGCAAGCGTTCTCTTCATTAAGAATGTTAATTACTCGTAATTTGTTCATTATATTAACAGCATGCAGACGTTTTTATGCTATTGTAAAAATAAAATGTAATGGTTCATATTATTATTAATATTATTCCCGGCGTTAATCAATTGACTTTGAATTTGGTAACAATTTAAATTTATATTTCTAGAGCGCACACGTTATTCATATTATAATAATTAATTATAATGCAAAATATTCATATTAAAACATGCAAAAAAGTAAAAGTTATTATGAATAAAAAATGAAATTTTCAATAAAATTACATATCAAAAAAATATCACATATATAAAATAACCTGGAAAAATTATTCAATATATATATTCGAGAGAGCAAATTGATTGTAAGAACACACAAGTGGATCCTTTGATTAATTTTCTCTATAAGTATTCATGAATTAATAGCCATAGTACACCGCTTCTGTCATTAGCAAACTTTGTGCAATATTGATAAAAACTTGATCGTGTGGAGACGTGGAAGCGCTAAAGCAAGACATGTAACTGCAACCGCGTCGCAGGTCGGATCGTCTACTAATGGATGAGACTAAGAGAGTAAACCGGTAAAGTTTCGCTGGCCAAGTTACGTGAGCGTCTTATATCGCGCGGGCTTTAAGTAATTGCTGCGGCTGTGTACATGCGCTCGGTGCAACATGCGCTGCGCATGCATCGCAGACGTAGATATACGCGAGCAAGTGCGAGCGGTAAGTGCGTCTCGCCACCTAACTTATAATGATCTCTAGAGCGGAGCATCAAATTGCCGCAATGAGGTTGCAGCAATTAATGAAGTTAAGAAACACCGAGACGGTGATAAAAGTTTGACGCACACGCGCGGATCTAATTACTCAGAAGTTTCGGCCTGCTGCTCGCATAATTCTTATAAAACCACTCTCCATCGGCAAACGGCTGACTGTCAAACGATTTACGGTCACAAAAATGTAACAAAAGATCGAAATAGTTGAGGTTGAGTGAAACCATAAGTATATAGTCCGGATTAATTTGAATTACAATATGTTAAATGTAGGACATAATAGAGATTAAAAGTAACAAAGAGAGAATATATATAACTTATATTATTTAGATTAAAATTATCTGCAAAGAACAAAAAAATTATTATATTATATATATTTTTGTAATTTTTTCCGATTATGAACGAAACTCTTTAAACTATACGAAATTTCGAATTATTAAGATTTTATTATACTTAGTACCGAGCTGACCTAATTGAAAAGAAAGGAATGCAGGTTGATTGAAAAAAGAAAGGAATGCGAATTATTCTCCCTGAATTAACTGATTAGATCGCAGAATAAATGCCGCTCGCGTGAGGCTGAGCAATCCAGTTATAAAGCGGTTTTTAAATACTTTAATAACAATTATGTACAATGTAGAGAAACCTACAAAAGGAATGTAATCGCTCAATACATGGAAAAGTATATTTTTCTATCGCTAGGTTGAATCGCCTTTCACCATCTCGAAGAAAATTTCCAGTGATAGAAATGCAAAAATTGATATTCTAGTTTTCTAGAAATAGAGATTAGATTCTAGAGATAGAGAATAGATTCTAATAGATATTCTAGAATTAGAGAAACTTAATTTAAAGAAAATTAAGAGATTCAAAGAGAATTTAACATTTTTAATTTTTAATATTTCACATCAATATTTCTATTCTATTATTTCAATTTTGATTAAATTAAAAAATCAACTTGGCAAAATTGATTTTGACGAATATTAATTTTGATTGATCTTAAAAATCAACTTTATTATAATCTTGATAAACGATAATTATTCTAACAATTATTCTAAATATAAAATTTATTTTCCGTTTTTTCTTAATCGGCATAATTTTTCAATTAAAACGATGACTTCTCTCAATCTACGTCATTATACATATTTCTTCTTTTAACAACATAGCAAAATCGTTTCATGTGCCTACAAGTATGGTATATATTACTCGTTCGTTACGCTAATTAAACACAGCGCACATTAATTAGATCTTTATCTAAAAAATTGTCGGTTTCCTATTCTTCTTCCTCACTTCTTTTCCGCATTGTAAATTTCGAGCGCATTCGCAATCTTAGCCGAGGCGTAGCTTCTAAATGACAATAATTGATCATAGACGAGCGAGTCCACTCCCAGCTAGTTTGCAGCTGACCGTGTCGCTAGTTCTCATTGTTTCATCTTCAAAACTATGCCGCGCTGTCACTTGCACATCCGCTGGCGACACTCCTCGTCCTATATTTGTGTTCCCCTTTTAGTGGCCGTTGTATTTAGAAATAATTTCGTATATTAACGCGCATATGCGCGAAATTAAAATTTGCGCGACATAAAAATTTTCCCGTTATTTTTTTTTATTTATATAAATATATATATAATTTTTTTATAGATAAGATCATCAATTAAATTAATATTAATATATAGATTTTTTTCTCAGCAAAAGTTTCATTAAATGCAAATTTATTTTCGTTATATTTTGATTTAAATATATGTCTTTATAGCTTTAACATTTAAGTGGTAAAATTTCAACACGATAAATTTTACTTAAATGAAAAATCGCTATTTACATCTGCTTGAAAGGTAATCAATAAATTTCACTAGTATCTCAATAATTCAAAGCTACGGGAAACTATTTAGATGTAAATTAATCTCTAGTGTTTTAAAAATAGTTTCAATAGCAACAGATTAATCATAGGCTCGGTTCATTTCAAGACCGCACGTGGCAGAAGGAAGACACGGATTCGTTACCGTCCCCTCGTTAATTTCCGGCAGGAAGCATCGAGGACAAAAAAAGAGACAAGAACAAAAATATCTACATTCTTGCATTGATTTATTTGAGAACCATGACTGTCATACTCGGACACACACACATGTGTGAGAATCTCCTTTAATAAATCAAATAATTTTTGATTTTAAGTCAGTTAATACTATAAATAATCTCTGAAATCTTCTACGCGATAAGTAAAATATTTTAATCACATTTCAATAAATTATACCTTTCAATAAATTATATCATATACCTATATATACTTATTAATATAATAAGATTATTGTCATATGTATTATAAATCATATGTAGAAACATAAAAACATGTCGAAAGTCTGATATTGATTTACATTGCAAATTTTGATTTTCTGCAAAATATCATCATCTTATATAATCATTTATTGCAAAAAACAAAATCATAAAATTTGATAAATTCTATAATTTTCTAATCTTTCTTCGTTAAAGTTCAAGAATTAATTTCATTGAATCGCAAAATTTTGTTTATTTTATTTCACTTGTTTATTTCTTGCTGTTTATCAATCTAATAATAAATTATTTGTGTTTTATCGAAGAATTGGCATTTTAGGAATATTCCTACAGGGAATATAGACTTAAAAATCGATTCTCACAATAGTGTAAACCGAACATTGCTCCGAATGTATTGTATTGTATATTACCGTCCGGTGAATGTACACGCGGGAGGTCACCGTCTGGCTCTAAGCTCATTGTTTCTCGATAACGTGTTGGCTACGTCGGTCAAACGCAGTAGCTACCGCGGGTTTGATTAATCTTGAATCAGAATTTACAGGTAATTCGAGAGTACGCCGAGAGGAATAATTTGTAAAATGCACGCCTCACTGGGTTTCCGAATGGAAATGCGCGGTTACAAGTATATCTCTTTACAGACAGACAGAGTAAAGCCGCGCGAGATTTATTCAATCCAATGAAGTTCGGATGTGCGCGTTTCTGTGTATAAACACAATCACGTTAACGTATGACTGTATTAATGCAGCCGGTACACGAATGCAAATGTAAACGTTCGTGAGTGTCGGAAAACAGTAATAAAAGAGCGTTGCGGAAAAGAGTGATGAAATAAAAGACTGCACGCAGTTTTCCGATACAAATTATTTTACTATTTTAACGTCAACGTTGTCATGTTGGAAACAACAGACAAATTGCTAGTAAAAATATTCAATGCACTGCTTACAGAGAATTCTGAATGCAAAAATACTAAATTAAATTAACGTTGGCGAATAACAAACGTTTTTGGACTACATGCAGCGTTTAAGGATAAGCTTTTTTTATGCGTACATGAAAGAGGAAAATAATAATTTTATGTGTATAGAAATGAATATAAGAAATAAAATATTTTAAAATTAGCGAAATATATAATCTTTTTTTACACATATTATTTATAAATAATTTAATAATTTTCATATCACTCGCATATTATTTAATTTCTTGGCAATTTAATTAAACCAAATAATACTTGCTCTACTTTAGCTGCAGCACAAGTACTTTTGCATTTTCTTATCCACTTCATCGCGCTTTAAAGGAGGACGTTTTTTCAAGAGAGGCTCAATAAAGTCATATATTGATCGGATTGCGTTTAAATTGAACCGCGATGCGAAAAGCG